TGCTGATAGGTTAATTGGCTCCTGTCTGAATTGTTCTAGTTTCATCCCTGGCCACGCAGGATTTCCTGCATGGTAGGGGTTGGAGAAAAACCTGGCAACCTGCTCTGTAAAATAATTGCTAAGAGAATTCACGGAAAAAGTTGCTTACGAGTGACGGTCCATGCAATCGCCAAGGATCGGATACAACTGAACGGATGGATGTGTGTGTGTGTATGTATGTATATGTATATGTGTATATGTATATATATATATATATATATACATTTTTTTATTTTTTTTTACAAGTCGGGTTCATATATACTTTAAGGTATGGACAAGCCCACAGAGTTCCTTTGCTCTCTAGACTTCCAATTGACGCATACTGTAATGATCGTGCATACTAGGCACACATATGGCTGTGTGTGTAGCAACCATGTTACAGAATTCAGTCATTACATTTTATTTGTCATTTTCTTTTCTGTTTTAAAACCAGAGATCCAGCAGTTCTTATACCCCAACCCCCCCTTCTTTCCAGAACATACAGTCAGGTCCATAAATATTGGGACATCGACACAATTCTAACATTTTTGGCTCTATACACCACCACAATCGATTTGAAATGAAACAAACAAGATGTGCTTTAACTGCAGACTGTCAGCTTTAATTTGAAGATATTTAAATCCAAATCAGGTGAACAGTGTAGGAATTACAACAGTTTGCATATGTGCCTCCCACTTGTTAAGGGACCAAAAGTAATGGGACAGAATAATAATCATAAATCAAACTTTCACTTTTTCATACTTGGTTGCAAATCCTTTGCAGTCAATTACAGCCTGAAGTCTGGAACGCATAGACCTCACCAGACGCTGGGTTTCATCCCTGGTGATGCTCTGCCAGGCCTCTACTGCAACTGTCTTCAGTTCCTGCTTGTTCTTTGGGCATTTTCCCTTCAGTTTTGTCTTCAGCAAGTGAAATGCATGCTCAATCGGATTCAGGTCAGGTGATTGACTTGGCCATTGCATAACATTCCACTTCTTTCGCTTAAACTCTTTGGTTGCTTTTGCAGTATGCTTTGGGTCATTGTCCATCTGCACTGTGAAGCGGCGTCCAATGAGTTCTGAAGCATTTGGCTGAATATGAGCAGATAATATTGCCCAAAACACTTCAGAATTCATCCTGCTGCTTTTGTCAGCAGTCACATCATCACTAAATACAAGAGAACCAATTCCATTGGCAGCCATACATGCCCACGCCATGACACTACCACCACCATGCTTCACTGATGAGGTGGTATGCTTAGGATCATGAGCAGTTCCTTTCCTTCTCCATACTCTTCTCTTCCCATCACTCTGGTACAAGTTGATCTTGGTCTCATCTGTCCATAGGATGTTGTTCCAGAACTGTGAAGGCTTTTTTAGATGTCGTTTGGCAAACTCTAATTTGGCCTTCCTGTTTTTGAGGCTCACCAATGGTTTACATCTCGTGGTGAACCTTCTGTATTCACCCTGGTAAAGTCTTCTCTTGATTGTTGACTTTGACACACATACACCTACCTCCTGGAGAGTGTTCTTGATCTGGCCAACTGTTGTGAAGGGTGTTTTTTTCACCAGGGAAAGAATTCTTCGGTCATCCACCACAGTTGTTTTCCATGGTCTTCCGGGTCTTTTGGTGTTGCTGAGCTCACCGGTGCGTTCCTTCTTTTTAAGAATGTTCCAAACAGTTGTTTTGGCCACGCCTAATGTTTTTGCTATCTCTCTGATGGGTTTTTGTTTTTTCAGCCTAATGATGGCTTGCTTCACTGATAGTGACAGCTCTTTGGATCTCATCTTGAGAGTTGACCGCAACAGATTCCAAATGCAAATAGCACACTTGAAATTAACTCTGGACCTTTTATCTGCTCATTGTAATTGGGATAATGAGGGAATAACACACACCTGGCCATGGAACAGCTGAGAAGCCAACTGTCCCATTACTTTTGGTCCCTTAACAAGTGGGAGGCACATATGCAAACTGTTGTAATTCCTACACCGTTCACCTGATTTGGATGTAGATACACTCAAATTAAAGCTGACAGTCTGCAGTTAATGCACATCTTGTTCTTTTCATTTCAAATCCATTGTGGTGGTGTATAGAGCCAAAAATGTTAGAATTGTGTCGATGTCCCAATATTTATGGACCTGACTGTAGCTAAAGTTTTCAACTCCTTTTTTGTTTCTTTGTTGCTCTATTGTCTTTTTATTTCTTTGTAACACCTTTTTTCGGTAAGTATTTTATGTGCACCATTTTGACTTTTTTTATTATTAAACCCTATTTTGAAAGTGTTCAAACTGACCTTTGCTTTTATTGCAAACTACAGAATCCCTGTCTCTTGAAGAGTGCTACTGTATATGACAAATCTCTGTACACACACTGTCACCACAGACATGTATATTCAGACGTTTTATTTTTCTTATTTGTTCTTGCTAACGTGAGTTTCCGGCATTTTAAGTCACAAGGTGGTGGTAGCTTAAAGGGTTCATTGCTTAGGTAACGTAACCTCGTGACAATCACTCTCAGGGTCCTGACACCTAGATTGTGGTCCCGCAAGCTGGAAAATCTTTGGCCAAGGTGCAGCTGTGAGTGGCATTGTTACATAAGTGACAACGCGGTGTGAGATTGGCCGGTCCTTTGTCACAGGTTGGTGAGAAGGGCAGGGGTCAGGCACTTCGTTTGTCACACCTACCACATCTATTATTTCATGCTCCATTATAGGCCAGACATGCCGTATTGATTCCCCTGTTCCTCTTTAGAATCAGTGGCTAGAAACTTTAGAGGAGTAGCAGAGGTCTTTTAGAACCATTCTACACCTGCATGGACACTATAGATCTTATTTGTTATTACTGAAGATTGGTAACACTAGCATGGTCATAAAACTTCAGTGGCAGATCCTTTCACTGAAGTTACATCAATAAGTATATGGCAAAATTTGTCAAGTTGTATTTAACTATTACAGATTTTAGGGGGTTATTTACTAAACCTGGAGAAAATCAGGCTTACTTCTGCATAGAAACCAATCAGCTTCCAGGTTTTATTGCCAAAACTTAAGTGAACAAGTTGAGGTTAGAAGCTGATTGGTTTCTGTGCTGATGTGAACCAGATTTTGCACTCCCCAGCTTTAGTAAATAGACCCCTTAGTGTCTTGGCAACACTGGTATTTGACCACATATCCTTCCCACCCTTGATACCACATTCCTGACACTAAGCTGGCCTTACGGCTGTAGATTTTCTTTTGAAAACTGTAATTTTCAGAATGTTCATTACATTATTTAAGAGATAAAAGGGCCGATTTAAACAACTACTTTCAGCAGACAGAGCTGGAAAATGTAAAACACAAGGATACAGAATTTCTTTTGAGTCTAATGGTAACAAGCAAATTTCTATGAGTTAAATTGGCTCCTACGTGAGTAAAATCATTAGTGTTATTGACATTTGTCAAAGTTAATTTGGATCGTCTGAATTGAAAGTTTGAGTCATTGACATGGTGCTCGAATGAAAGGTGTATAGAAATTACTTGAGTCAATGAAAGCACCATCAAATGCTTGGATGAACAATTTTGATCCTTTCCTGTCTGAACGTTTGAATGAGAATCTACAGGAGTAAGGCCATCTTAACCCTCAATTAACTAAGCTAATACACCAGGATAAAGTGATAGTAATCTTCAAATGAGTTCAATAATATTTGAAAATAACAGTCACATTGCTAAAATAAAGATCCTTATCATTTGTATGTGAATTGAGCCTATTGTCTTCTCCAAAATGCTCGTGTGAATATACACAAGGGCACCAAGCTTCCAGTGGTATCTGCCACTTGTAGCTACAGCAAGGGCAAGTTGTACCTGTGCTGCATATCATCCTTTCTGGGAAACGCTGGTGGAACGTAGGTAGAACATTTCTTTTATGTAGATGATATAAACCCTGTTTAAATTTTGTACTAGGTGTAATATTAATCGGCTAAGCCAGTGGTGGTCAACTTTCTTAATATGGTGGACCTCAGGTGTGGCCCCCAACATCGCCAAAGGACCACACATCAAATCCCGTGAATATTCATTATCAGAGACAGCAGACACACAACAGAATATATTCAATATATAGTCAAAAACTATGGGCATGATACAAGAGATGGTCAGAGATGGTGGACATAATATAGGAGATGGTCAGAAATGGTGGACATAATATAGGAGATGACCATATAGGAGATGACCAAAGATAGTGGACATAATACAGGAGATGGTCAGAGACTATAGACATGATACACAAGATGGTCAGACACCATGGATATAATACAAGAGATGGACCGGGACAGCAGACACAATACAGGAGATGCAGACATGATACAAAAGATGACCAGAGACTGTGGACATGATACATGAGATTGTCAGAGACTGTGAACATACTATAAGAGTGGGACATGCTTCAGGAGATACACTGGAGATACACTGGAGACACATTACATAAGACTGTTAGAAATCACTGCTATAACAGGGCTAGAGAGAAACACAGATTAGAGTCTGCAGGTGCCCCAAGGGCCACACAAAGTGCCAAAGGGTCGCATGCAGCCCCCAGGCCGCAGGTTAGGCACTAGAGAGATAAGCTATCTGGGAGAAAGGAGGCACAAACAAATGAAAGACCATGCTATTATCATTACAATAAATCTCTTCACTATTCTTCCTGAGCTTTTTGAAAATACCTAAAGTTAAGGGGATTCAGGAAGTGTAGCCTCCCTGACATGACAGGAGTAACCTATTGTTAGGTCTGCGTTCCAAAAAAAATAGAATTCCAAAAAGTAGCTGTTTGCACAGTAACTTCAGTGTTCTCCCCTGGCATAGTGATGAGGATTATTATAGCTCAAAGCAAGGTCGGGCAACTTGGTGTCTGCCAGCTCATAGACAGCATGGTTGAAAACATATACAACTAGGACAGATTCACTTTAAATCATCTGTTGCTTTATCTACATTTGTAAAACTCTTTGTCTTTCTGTCTTGTAGGCCTCATGCCACACAGCTCTATCAAGACTTCCCTGCAACTTGCTGGCCAATTGTTTATTCCAGCGACTACAACATTACATTCATTGGTCTTGAAAAACTTCATCCATTTGACTCTGGGAAATGGGGAAAAGTGATAAACTTTCTCAGAGGTAATTTCAATTTCTAAAATAATCATAGGTGCTTTCAATAATGACTTTGTCTCTGCCTAAACCATAACTAAATTCTCATTGGTGCAGCTTAGCTCTTACCATAAATAAAAGATGAAAACCCATCTCTTCAGGGAAGCCTACCCCACCCTCACCTAACAGCCAATCTCCTCCACTCCTCCTACCACTCCATCCCTCACAGCCACTTCCTCCTGTACCACTACCCCCTCCTTCCTAGATTGTAAGCTCCAAAGAGCAGGGCCCTCAAACCCCTCGTGTATTGTATTGTCACTGCATTGTCTCATGTACTGTCCCCCACTATAATGTACAGCGCTGAGCAAACGTTTTGGCGCTATATAAATACTGTATAATAATAATAAAGTTTGCACAGCATACTTACACATTATGGCTCACCTACCTCCTATTGTGCTCTCCTCCAGTGATGACTGGTCAAGGATCCTGTCACTGCTTCATCCCTTGCTGCTGTTGTATCCACCACCACTTTTTCCGGGTTCTGTGGTGATCCTTATTAGCAATTGGACAGCCTCTGATGATGATAGTGATTTGCTTGCACAGAGACTTTACATCAACATGCCAAGAATAGAGCAAGGATATCCTGCACATGCGCTGTTCCGTGTTCCGTTTTTTTTTTGTCAAACGTGTCTTTGCTTGTGTCTTCTGGTGAAAAACTCTACCTCCTGGTGATTTTTGTTGCAGGTGCTTAATTCCACTTTAACCTGCCTCAGTTCAGCTGTTTGCCATAAGATATCAGCCACACAAGGAAAGATAGTGTTTTCAATGTGTAAACAAACCTATAGGCCTGCACTGCGGGGAGCAGTAAAGTACAAAAACTAGGCAGCACTGAATGATCAGAAACACACCTACAAGTCCACCTCTGGCTCAAAAAAAAAAAAATTAAGGTTTTGGAGTGACCTAGTCAAAGTCAGGACTTAAATCAGATTGAGATCCTGTGGCATGACCTTAAACGGGCCATTCATGCTCAAAAACCCTCCAATGTGGCTGAATTAAAACAATTCTGCAAAGAAGAGTAGGTCAGAATTCTTCCACAGCGATGTGAGGGCTCATTGCCAATGCTTGATTGCAGTTGTTACCGCCAAGGGTGGCACAACCAGTTATTAGGTTTAGGGCGCAATTACTTTTTCATGTAGGGCCAGGTAGGTTTGGACAGTTTTTCTTTTCCCCTTAACAAATGAAATCATTTAAGTGTGACACAAATAGAAAGAAAAAAAAATCAAGCAGGGGCAAATACTTTTTCACAGCACTGAACACCCGACCAACCATAGGACTGACAGGGATCCACCAGGCAGAAAGTGAAGGGGCCCGGATGTGACATCCGTCCTGTTCGGCTCCGATCAGCAGGGGATCTGTGAGCATATACCCTGCTGATCAGAGCAGACTCCGCTCCAGGTGAAAAGAGCCTAGGATATATGTAATTAGCCTACATACCAAATATTGTACTATTTGCTCTTATTCATTTGTACTGTTTCTTTATCCACTGAGTGGTATGTTTTAGCCAATCACTGATATTACATTTTCCTTTTCAGAAAAAAAGTTAATTACAAATGACACTATTGTGACTGCTAAGGAGGCAACAGAAGAAGACTTACTAGTTGTACATACTAGACGCTACTTAAACAAACTAAAGGTATAGTTTTATTTTACACATAACCTGTATTGCTTCTAAGATACCTATAAAGAGTATACAAACTTTGTCCTTTGATATTTACTTTCTGCTTTTGTAATTGCATGGGTACACCATTAATCTTAGACATTACTTCACACTACTATGTTGTGAATACATTCCATCTTTTGTTTTTTCTCATGTTTCCTATTTTTCCTAGTTTTTTATTCATTGTCATCAGTTTTAGGGGCATGCACTTGAGCGCATTTGCCTGTAGGCACACCGCAATTTTGATGCCCTGGTGCTACATTTAGCCATCAATAGGCTTGAATGGGTGAAGGTAGCTGTGCATAGCTATGTGCCACTACTTTGGTAAAGTGGCGCATGCAAACAGGTGTAAGGTCCCAAACTCACACCACCTGCATTTGGGACTTTACATCTGTACACAAGCTGCCACTTGATAGAAACAGCAGTGCATAGCTGCATACTGCTGCCTTCCCCCATTTATGTATATGGACGGCTGTTCACAGCACCAGATCACCCCAAGCATCAATATACACAGTTGGGGGAAGCCAATAAAGCTGCTGCCCAACATTTATGGCGTTAATCCCTCTTGGTAATGTATTGGCGCCAAATTCATGAAACACATACAACACGTTTGGCCTTGACAGTTTCTCGTTCACCAAATTTAGGTAGTTCTAAAATGCGCTACTTTTACATTTTGGCACAATGAATGCTCCAAATCAAAATAAAATACAGTCGTATCTTCTAAAAGTTCAGAAAATTAGAAGCAACTCTGTTTTGGCATACAGAGCGAGAAAATAAAATCAAACATAAGAGTGCGCTAAAAAACATATAAAAGTCCATAAATCAAATATGTGAAAGTCCAATATATATAACTCGTGTGACAAATATATGGAAGAGTGGCTGCAGAGTAGTCCTCCTCATTTCCTGCCTATACTATAGAAGGGTGTCTATCAGCTAGAATCCAATACTGTAGAATATTACATCCAAAGTCTGGAGGTTGCTGTCTTCTTTGCTCCCAGAGCAAAAGTGCTAAGGCTGGTCTATAATTTGATCAGCACTTAGCTCTAGTGAGTGCATTCGATTGATTTGGTGGTGGATTGCTCACGGTGTTATATATTTGTCACACGAGTTATATATATTGGACTTTCACATATTTGATTTATGGACTTTTATATGTTTTTTTTGCGCACTCTTATGTTTGATTTGATTTATCCATATTTTTTGGAGTTAGAGTTGCTGCTGTATAATTGGAGGGTGTGGCGCTTTTCTAAATACCAATTTGTTTAGAGCGAGAAAATAGCTTGGACAGATTTTGCGAAAGTGTCTCACATGCATTTAAAATGTGGCTCAGCACGCGCCAAATTCAAGTACAAATTCTAGACCGGTATATGAATTTGGCACATTCTGTACCACTTTTAGAAGGCATGAGAGACAGTTTCGCAAAATCTGTCTGTGCCAGTCTATATTAATTCCAGGGAGTGTGTTTACACTGTACAGGCAAATGGACCCAAGTGCATGGAGCCAAATTGTATGTAAACCTAAAACACAACTTTACTGCAATCAATCCTAAAGTCTGAGTTTCTTTTTATTATTCATATTTTTTTATATTATGTGCATGTCAAAGAAGTCTGGATACCTATGTATTTTATTATAATATTTTTTTAAATTTCTATAATTTATAACTGTGTATAAGAGAAATTAATGTAGCTTGGTAAACATGTTTACATCTCTTTTTTATCTCCCAGTGGTCATTTGTGGTTGCTACAATAACAGAAATCCCACCTCTCGTCATCCTTCCCAACTTCCTAGTACAAAGAAGAGTTTTGAAACCACTGAGAACTCAGACAGGTGGAACAATAATGGTATGTACTTGGATTATTAAATATTTAAACATGGAAAAGAAACAGTCAAGCTGTCAGGGATCTCGGGCTGGACCGTGGCGCGCTAGTCTGCGCATGCTGGGGCGCACTAGCGTGCGGGCACTAGGACCAGGACACCCGTGACAGCAATGGCAGTCGTGCATGCGCGATCGCGTGCCTGGCACCAATAGGAGCGCAGGGCGCCCTTTTTCAACAGGCTCTGACTGTGTTTTTAATTGTCGTATGGTCTTTTCCTGTATCCTGTGTCCTGAGTGATTGCTTTGCTGCCGACCTTGCCTGACCCTGATTCGTTGACTGTCTCCTGCTCTGACCCCTGGCTTGCCTGACCATTCTACTGTCTAATCCTGTGCCTTTGATCTCCTGTTGCCGAACCTGGACCGTGACCCGTGTATTCTTCTGCCTGCCGCTTGTACTGACCTGTCTCCGCTGTTACCGACCTGGCCTGTCTGACGTTGCTCACTCCGCCTCCTCACATCAGACTCTCACCTGCTACGTGCCACCGACAAGTGCCTCTACCACAGCTGGTTGCACCCAGGGGCCATGACCTGGTTTCGGCTTGCCCCAAGTCCATCCCCACCATCAGGGGCCCTGGTGAACAAGCAGGTCGGGACTTAGATTCCGCGCCCTGGGGAATTCTGGTCTGTGGAGCGCTAGAGGCTACCACCGGTCGGTCCATAACACAAGCTTTCTTTCTCTCAATATTGTGACAAATAGGCTAATTTAGATTTGTTGGGGATCAATAATAATATGAAACTTCAGATGGTGTATGCAGTGGTATAGTGTAGTACCTGGCGTGGTATTGCAATTCAAATATATATTACAATTTGTTGTGGGGTTGGTTTACTCAAATCAAATAGACTGTGCACTTTGCAAATGTGGCAAAGTGTCATTTTACCCATTCAGATGCAAGGAAATGTTTTGCTTGCACATGATTGGATGATGGAAATCAGCAGAGCTTTACCAAGTTTACTGTACTAAGCTCTGGGGAAAATCGGTGCAACTGCAATTGCAAAGTGCACAGTCTATTTGTCTTTAGTAAAACAACACCTTTTAAGTACTATCATGAGGTAGTCAGAGATGGGGACCCATCTTTGTTACTATATGAAGGAATGCAGTTAAATACTGGATCATTTATTGCAACCCAGATTAGTTATTACTAGAAATTTGGCCTTTTATATGTGAACCTTTTTGTAATGCATAATCTTACTACATAATGTGCATTTGAGCAAATGCTAGCCATAAAACCATTTTTTTCAGTTTCAATTAGAGATAATAAAAAACAAAATTGTATTTTCAAATCCTTTTTTCCTCTAGAAGAGTTTGAGAGACTTTGACCCTGATTTACTATAGGAGTAAATAATGTTCATGTTTTGAAGTTAATTTTCACATTGAAAAATTCATATTTGCTTTTTTTTTAGTAAATGAGGTAAAGCGGAGTGCAAATTCACTTTGCAACAAAACACCCAGTCAGGTGCACTTTAGTTATTTAATCAATTGCAAGCAAAAATTTGTTTTGTTTTTTTTTTCTTGTACCTGATTGGATATTTTTTGAAAAGTGAATTTTACTTTGATTCACTTTATTCACAAGGTATGTAAAAATATACTCTGAAAGTAAACATGCTCTACTTTTTTAGTAAACCAATTCCATGGTCGATTTCGATTCCTATTTTTTATTCAGGTTTAATTTAAAATGTTTATCTATGTTCTTATTAAAGCAAATTGTATAAGATTAAGAACAGCATAGTGTGGATAAAAATGTTAGTTTTTTTAATATTCTTTATTTAACGTGATTGTAAACTCCAAATTAAAAAAAATAACAACAGGTTTATACTTTACCTGCTCTGTGCAATGGTATTGCACAGAGTGTTCCCGAACCTCCTCTTCTCAGGTCCCCAACCAGCGCTCCTGGCTAATCCTCTTCTTGGTGAGCCAATGGCTCCTACTGCTTTAGCTAAGCCTGTGAGACCAGACCAGGATGTGAGAGGTGGGAGCCGCTGCAGGGCCCAGCACTGGATCGTGTGAGGACTCGGTAAGTATGAGTGGTCAGCGGGTGATATTTATACCTAAACATTTTTTACCTTAATGCATTCCTTGCATTAAAGTAAAAAAATGTTTAGGCTTTAGAACCACTTTAAGAAAGGCAAAGGATAACAAGTATAAGCATGTGTCATAACAACTCAGTAAGAGAGATCAGTTAGAACTAACTTTCTTTCAGAAGCAGGAAATAGCAATGCTTGACTATAATAAAGCATACAGTGAATTCAGGTGACATTATGGAAAAATGCTCATAAAACTACAGCTATCAGAAAACCTCCATGGCTCATTATGAACTGTATTTTGTCGTCTAAAGCCTTAAACAACTTTTGCAAAAAAAAAAAAGGATTAATAATAAAGCATGAAAACTAACAAAAAAGGCCAGGGGAGAAGAGTCCACAGCAGGAAATGCCATGGCCCATCTAAACCGAGTATTATGCTATTGTCACTTTAACATTTGACCTTCTCATTTGAGCAATGAGGAAGCCCCAAACCACTGCAGGGACATGTACATTTTTTTCATTTAAATTTTTATTGTTTGCAACAATTTACAAAAATAACTTTCAAGGGTACAGAAAAAAAATAACATTGAAAGATTTGTATTTTTTACTTCTAAATTACTGCAGTTAGTATAAGGAGCATTTTTGAACAACATAGGTTATGTGTACACAGGTACAGTCTGTTTTTTAAAGTGCCACTGCAAAAAATCTAACAAAAAAAAAAGTTGAAATATGACATATGCTTTTTTTATGCATTTTACTTGCTAAAGGATTTGCAACTCTTTTTAGTCAGCCTTGTGATTTACACATCTTGGTTACTTTGTACAGACAGGAAGTTACTTCCTCATTTTAGCTTTACTACTTTTCTAGATCATCTCCCAGCCTACTGGACAGAGGTGATCATGTTGGTTCACTATCTTATTGTAGCACCTTCTAGTGTGCTACTATTGTTAGTGTAGGTAAATTTAAATTATGGTAGGACTCATGGTAACTGTGTGAGTCAGTAATTAGGTCGGGTTACTGCAGGTCAGACTGGGAAACTCAGCAGGTTGGGACTCTTATCGCCTCTGCCTAGTTCTAGAGGACCATGGAAGCTTCCAGAAGCCAGTGGGCCGGGAGGGGTGGAGACCTAAATCTGTATGTTTATGGGAGTCAATCCCAGGTTTGGAGGCCCTGGTAGTATGGTAAGGCTTACCCAAAAATATGAGAGTGCCATGCTGGCGGGGAATTGGGTGGAAGATGGAGTGCTGAGGAGGCTGTCGGTGGCCTGGGAGGGGTCCCCTAGGTTTAGAGGGAGCCCCCTAGGTCTAGGGGAGGCTTGGCCTCCAGGCTGGGCTCAGGAAGATCCATTTTAGTATCATAGTATGAAGAGGAGTGAGTACATCAGCACACCCAGGGATTCACAAGGGGAGAGACTGCCACAGCAAGCTTTCAAAGGACAGCGCTGTGCTTAATCTTTTTATCCTTGTCTTGGGAGTCCCCTTGATTTGTCCCCGTGCATTGATTCAGTCAAGTTGGGCATCCCATAATCCCTATTACCCCATCCAAGTTATTTCCACAAATAAAACAACAAAACCCAAGCTCATGGACTGTTCACTGACTGTGGAAGCAAGTGTGAGAAACTGTGTTGCCTGGCTGTACAAGGCTTAGGGGGACCCAGAAACACAGCAGTCCTCAAGAGGGTAGCGCTACACTATAAACAGTCAGGTGGTGAAGATTTCATAGGAGTCTGCAAAACTGATCAAGGAAAAATAGGCTTTACTTCCTGGCCCTGCAGAGTGGTAGGGGTTTAAGGCTAGCCATAGACACTTGGATTTCTCATATTCAACAATGTAGGCTGAATGAAAGAAAGCAATAAATTCCTCCATCCACAATAAACAGCTTGGATGGAGGAATCTGCCCTGCCAGCTATTGTATTCCGTCATCGGCAGCACTTGATGCTCACTAAATAACCGAACAGTGACTGTATATGATTGGACAGGCTAAATAGGCCAAACTTCAAACCATGTATGGCTAGCATAAAAAAGTCATGATGTGATGCTCAGGGATTTATTTTCTTTCTTCTTATCGTCACTGGAGTTGTCTTTTTTTTGGAATAAGAATTGGTTCGATTTCATTGATTTTTGCCTTTTATGAAGCTCCCCATTAATGCAACAGTATTTATACATCAGTCCACTGTACACACCCACATCTAACTGCACATTTTTCTTTTAGGCTGGAAAACTGGCCATTGAAAGAGGATGGGCAATTAATGTTGGCAAGTATAATATTTTAATTCATTATTTAAAAAATATTTTACTCTTTTTAACAATTTTTCATACCTAAAAAAAAAAAAAAAAAAATAAGTTCTAAATAGGATTTATTTATTATTAATTGTTTGCAGTATTCTAGATGTGCAAAATGTTTGTATAAGGGCCTTGTCACAATGGAAAATCTGTTGGTTGTAACCCCATGCCAGTGTGTAGAATCTGAGGTGCAGCTGTTACTCTACCCAATGAAAATGCTTCCCCTTTTGTAATGAACTGTTGCAAAATCGTAATCACTAGTGAGGGAGCAACAGTGGAGTGATTGTTCAGCCAATGAGAAAGTGATTCAGTTTGAGAATGTGAGTGGAGTGGCTGGCCATACACGTGTAGAATTTCGAAGAAAAATTCTTAGAAAAAGAAGATTCTACAAAAGTTTGTTAATTTTTCTAATCATTTTGTGAATCAAATTGATGTTCCATTCTGACCACAAGGGTCGAAGGTGCAGAATGAAAAGTTTTTCTCGAACAAACAGATTTTTTTTTTTCCCAAAAACTCATATACAGATACGGAGCAAAGTCCGCACATAGACATATTACACGTTCTCCTATAACGCAGACGGGTCAAAGATGTCTGTTTGAAGTGTGATTCATCTCGAGGCAAAATATCATAATATAGCAAATGTATAATACATACCAGTAGATATGATTATAGTAAATAAACTAGATAAGTATAATGGACAATGATCCACTGAGTAGGGAGTTCTCAGATAATAGGACTGTGGAGTGTAAGGCAGAAATATCTTCTGAAGGCGTATATGCCATATGTGTCTGTATCTGGAAAATGTAGGTTACTTTTGTAAAGAATAGTCACACCTGTATGTGGATAGATGCTCTGTTCCTTATAGAAGATATGATTAGTAGGGGAATGTAGAAGGTGTGAGATGGAGAGAAGAGAGAAAAGAGAAGGGAACGTCGATTGAAGAGAAATGTAAAAAGTGACGTCGTAAAGGGTAGGGGGAGAGCGAAATAAAAAGAAAAAAGAAAAAAAAAGGGGGGGGGGGAAGGGGTCAATGATTAGGCAATTGCAGCTAAACCAATCACATCATTATATATTGGCCAAACTAAAAAAAAAAAAAAAAAAACCCTACATCTTATTTAAAATACAATCCGCTTAGACTCAATCCATGGGGTAACTCCTGAGGTAAACGCCTTAAAGGTATTTCACCACCAAGTCTCAGCTCATTCATTCATTAGATTTCTAACAGTGTATGTGGTTTTAATTCGGTAAAGTCTATTCATTCCAAAATCAAATGTTAAAGGCATACAAAATTTTTCAAGCGACAAATTGAATGTTCTGAGAATATTCATATGAATTGTCCTAAGACTTTTCCAAGGAATATTTATTTGAAATTCTATTTATCTATGACCTGCTTTAGAGATCCTGCTATTGGTGAGTTGTCACCAACAAAATAATTGCTAGTGTGACATGATCCTAATTTTAATAAGAGCTTTTCGTTTCAGAAAGTATGGTCTTGATGTATCATGTCAGTCCTGGAAACTAGTTAAAGCGGAGCTCCACCCAAAAGTGGAAGCTCAACTTGTTTGCCCCCCCCCCCCCTTCCACTGCTATATTTGGCACCCTTTGGGGGGAAAGGGGGAGCCGGTACCTGTTTTTGACAGGTACCCACTCCCACTGCTGGCTCAGTTCACCGTGGTGAAGTGAGCCAGAAGTTCGGCCCTCTCCTCCCTCCCGCAGTCTCCTGGGAACTTTCACAGGTCCCAGAAGACTGCCAGACCAATCCACTTGCTCCACCCCATCCCCTCCCGAAGCCACTGGAGACATGTCACATGTCCCATGTCCCAGAGGGCTGTAGAACTATTCAGAGTGCCACATGAGCTCGAGCATGTGCAATGGAGAGCCACCTGTGGTTTCTCAGGAAGCCAAAACCAACTCCCAAATTCAAGTTGGAGGTGCTAGCAAACCAATATTTCTCTTTAATTCCCAAGGGCTACAAGTCCAATTTTAAATTTTAGGGCCTATTCACACCAGTCTGCCTTGTGCTACACATACCCTACAAGTGCTTTATTGATATGCTGCAGTACAGCAGTTCATTTATTTTAAATTGGCCCCGATAAAGAATAATCTGCTCCTGCACATTGCACATCATACTTTATGGTGCATTGTACTGCAGGTGCTTTGTGTAGATGCATTGGGATGGCATGTAAAATGACTAGCATGCAAAGCAATGCACCATACTTAGTGCTTTACCAAGCACTGCAGTAACAGAAAATTTTACTGTACGTTACAACCAGTGGTGTAGCATGGGGAGGGGGCAGCTGGTGGCATTGCCCCAGGCACAACATTTAGAGGGATGCAGAAATAAGTCCCATGCTGTGCCAGGCCTCTCTGAAGTGTCCTTTTTGATGTGCATATATTTTGCCTACAGCAAACCTTACATTCAAAATAAAAAAAATAATATAAATAGTTCCTATCTAATCCTATGTTAAGTCATAATTAATCCTAATCAGCCCTAATTATTTGTCCCTCCCCTGTTTTACGTCGTATGCTGTATTATCAATATTGTTAATGTTCCTAAGAAAATTCTACCCTCTCTCTATGAATAATGCTTCATGTCATCCTAATCCTGCTTTTTTATTTTATTATAAGGTGGTGGCTTTCATCATTGTTCCGGTGACAAAGGTGGAGGATTTTGTGCATATGCTGATATAACATTAGCTATCAAGGTACAATTCTAGATAATACGTTGTCTATTCTGAAATAGCTGTAGGAGTAAGATATTTAGCTTGGTCCAAAGTCAGTAAACTATTAAACAAACAATTTCTGCATCTGTTTATGGTAGAAACCTGTAACATTTTTGTCATCTTAAATTCCAAAACTTTTTTTTTTTAGTTTTGGACAGAGTAGTGACTGATTAGAACTTCAGATTTATGTTCCTGGGTTCATCCTCATTGGACAGTTGACAGTGTGACAAAAGGACAGAAATCATAGGGTCGTATGTTGGATAGGGACACAAAAATTAATAAAAAACACAGTTATAGTTATTTAATGGAACGGAAAGAGGTTGGAACATCCGTGTCTTCCTGTCCTGGTGAAACCTTCCCATTTCTTGTAAATAGGGACTATGGGATGCCCAACTTAACTGAACCAATGAACGGCAACAACTTCCTATTTACAGAAAAAGATCCTGGACTGTACTTCTCCTTGCATGCGGTCAGTCTTTATGGATCAGTAGCAAAAGCCCTTTATGGGCTAGGGACTCTCAGGCCCTCTGAAATTTAGCACAGGTTGCAAACTGCATGCTATAGTATCTTTTCTCCCCCGTAGAGAGCCTGCAGACACTACCATCCCTCCCGGCTGCTCTGAAGATCTCCCAGGACAAAGATAAAGGGTTAAGCATAATGTTGTCCTGTGAAAGCTTGCTACATGTGACAGTTCTCCCCTTGTAAATCCCTGGGCGTGCTGATGCCTTCTTTCCTCCCACTGCTCCCCAACATTAATTCTATTCATACTGTGATACTGAATGGATCCTCATGAGCCAGCCCCAGCCTATACCTGAAGGCCAGCACCCCCAGACCTAGGGGACCCCTCTCAGGCCACCTACCTGTTCCTCCGCACGCCATCTTCTACCTCACTCCTCTGCTAGCCTGACTCTCCCATATTTATAGGTTAAGCCTCCCCACGCTACCAGGGCCTCTAAGCCTGGGATTGGCTAGACTCCCATAAACATGCAGATTTAGGTCTCCACCCCTTCTGCCCATTGGCTTCTGGAAGCTTCTATTGTCCTCCAGAAATGGTGAAGGCGATAGAGTCCCAACCTGCTGTGTCACCCAGCCTGACCTGCAGTAACCCGACCTAATTACAGACTCACACAGTTACCATGAGTCTTACCATAATTATTATTATTATTATACAGTATTTATAAAGCGCCAATAGTTCGCTCAGCGCTGTACATTACAAAGGGGGACAGAACATGTGACAGAACAATACCAATACAATGCAAAACATGAGGGGATTGAGGGCCCTGCTCTTTCGAGCTTACAATCTAGGAGATGAATATAACCTACACTAACACTAGTATCTGGACAGTTGTACACCAGTGTTAATTTTAAGGATTTTCTTCCCACTTTTATTTGGTCATGAATGTATAAGAACAAGTTTCCTATGCAGGGGTACAACAAATGGGCTATAGATAAAGTTACAACATCCTAAGCTTGCTCACTCTATGTCTGTTCCAGTCACAAACAGACAACAACTCCCTCCTAAACAAAAACTTCCTGCTTTAAAACCAAACCCTAGCTTCATGTTTTGCAGTAACATCTTGTACATTGCGCAGGGTCTGTCTGTGAAAAGGCACTTATTTAAAGGCTAAGTTTTTTTCCTTTAATAACATGTTACATCCATATTCAGAGTGTAACATGTTACTAAAGCAGCAGCCTCACACTCCCCTCCACCCCTGATCCCCCAGAGTTCTGTGAATGAATGAACTACAAGTACCGTCTTCCACTGCGGCTGACAGCTTGTAGTTCTCAATGAACTGTGAGAGCGATGGTGATTGATTCTTCCTGCTATATATAATTTTTTTTTTGCTTGTTTGTTTTCTTGTTTTACAAAATTGAAATTATTCTTTAACAATCCTCTCACTTCCCTCGCAGTTTTTGACTTGGTTAATACTGGTAATCATGCTCTGACCCAGGCAACACTCCTAAGGACCCCTCATCCTGCCTTCTGAAAAACCTCAATGAAATGGTAGTCCTGAGTGGTGACTACATCACTAAAGTGTGACTTAGGTCTTCCCCCAGGCATGGCTTGCTGATGGAAAGAGAGCTCCCAGCATGTCGCATAACCTGCAATTAAAAGTAATTTTTAACTGACAATATAGTGCAAAAAGGAGTGTCCAATGCACTTTCAAACTAGCCAGCAACAAAAAAAAAATAACTAATCTGTTTCAACAACTTGGATTAAAAGCAGTTTTAGCCACATACATGCAAAACACGTGGAAGCTTCACTGTCTAGACACCTCTGATAAATGTGGTCGCTAGCTGGAAACTATCGGCGTTTCCCAAATATAGGACCCACATAGTATATAGCAGGCTCACCTGGAGGCAGCCCTGTTCATACAGCACCTTCACAAGGCAGCTGGAGCCTTCAGTGTGCGTCAGCACAAAGTCCAAAAAAGTAATTATGGCAGCTACACTTATTAGAGGTGCCTAAACAAAGCTGTGTGGTTTCCACGTATATTAGTAGATGTATTGTAAAGTGAACTATTGATTCTGGAGTTCTGTTTTAGGCCACCTTTGCCTTTTTAGTCTGGCGGATTTAGGGAGCTAAACATGATGTAGTTAGACCTTTTCTTTTTAATTTGTCCCCAGAATGTATTAGAAAGCTTTTCATTGGTGTACATTTGTATATATTTATTTATATTGAATATTGTGTGTGTTACATGTATTTATTTCTGTGGAGAGATTAACATCACGCTATTGTTAACATGTTTTATAACATCTTGGGTATATTTTGTTTTTGTTATTTTTCTAAGTTCTTATTTGAACGTGTTGAAGGAATATCCAAAGCAACAATTATAGATCTGGATGCTCATCAGGTATTGAACTACTCCTAACCTTTATAGAATTTTATTCTGTGTGTGTATATATATATATATATATATATATATATATGTATACATTATTGTTTATATTATACATTATTGTTAATCGTATTGTTATTGAAGGTCTAGTGGTTGTGATGTTCATTTTTTTTATTATTATTTTTTTTAGTCTTAAAAAAACAAGTTCTAGTTTGACATATGTTCTAACCCATTCCTACTTTCTCCACAACTAAAAAAAAAAGCAAAAAGATTTTAGCTGGATGTTTAGCTTTGATTTTTATCCACTTCCCTATTTTGTCAATTTTCTGAACTGATTATGTTTTTACCAGATTGGAACGGTGAAAATACCTGACAATATATTCAGTTACAGTACATATTGACATATACTACCCATTTACTTTTGTGCTACTAGTGAAAGCTCCTATTCGGTCTTTCTTTCACATTACTGAAGTCTATTTAACTAAAGGTAGCTACTATGAGAATATTTTTGTAAAGCTTCATAGCTGATTGAAAGAGGCAATGAGTTGTTTCCAGATTCGGTGCCACATCATTATTTGATTTAATATTTGTTCACTGTATCATGGGGTCTGCCTGACTTGCTTGCACGAACTGTACTCTTTTGCAAAGCAAAATATACTTGTAATACATGCATACATGTGTTTTTTAATATACTATGTTTATGAGACGCATTTTACCTTGAAACTAGGGAAATGGACATGAAAGAGATTTCATTGATGATAAAAGGGTCTACATTATGGATGTGTACAATCGTCATATTTATCCTGGAGATACTATGGCAAAACGTAAGTAATGTCGCTAATGTAACTTAAGCCACATTTGATATTGCAATAGAGGAGCTCTGCATGCTGAACAGTAGAGATTTTACTGTATAGTCATATGTAAAACTAACTTTTTTTTTTTCAGAAAACTTACATTTTTTTTTTGTACTTTTGCCTTTTCTGAGGCACTAATGATGTAGCCAGTACTTCCTAGCTTCCCCCTGGAAGGCAACATCACCAGAGTCTTCCAGGGAGCACTCATATGTAAACTACAAAATATTACAAGATTTTACAAAATCTCATGACATGTCAGGGAAAAGTCCCTGAAGCCATGGCAACATGTAAACTAAACAGAGGCAGCTAGGGATTTGTGCATGCATCTCAGGCAATATAGAATGTTTTGTTATTTTTTTTTATACATTTCCATGGCTTTAACAACAAGAGTGTCAGGTAGCATTATGATGCTCACATTGCTAAAGCCATGGCATTGTTGAAATATAAGCAAACTACACCAAATCTCATAAATCGTATGGCACAGAGAACAAGTCCTCCATCGAAGACTTATATTTTTAAAATGGCAGCAAGGGATTTCAAGCTTGTAGCAGACTGTGCAATGTGATCGGCAAACAGATACAGGAAAGGGGCATATAGGCATAACAATATTCATGTGTTTTCTATATTAATTTTCTTAATGTTGGCATTTTACTGTTGGGGAGCTTTGCTTTAATTGCTATACAGTATGTTTTTGGTGGGTTTTTTTTTTTTGTAACAGGTATAGGTGGGTATTTAAATAACATATCCCTGTGAGGACCCTAAGCACTGTCTTAGAATGGCACTCAAGTCTGTTACCCATCAAATCACATGAAACTGTGCAGAAAAACCTTGGCATGGTTTGAAGTTTTGAAGCCAGTAATATAAAAGTTATTGTCTTTAAATTGGACAAGTTGTTTGTTTTTTTTTTTTAAATTTGATTTGTGGTTTGTGTTACTACAGTTAGGAGTAGGACAATGGTAAAAGTTAGTGCCTTTATTTGGTGTGGGGAAAAGGGTTTGACTTAAGTTTCACTTAGGAGCAGGGCTAGGTTCCGTTAGCATTAGGTCAAAGGAACCACCCACAACTGTGGTTATGCAAAAATCTAGATATTCAGTATTAAATTATTCTAAATGTGCATGCTTGCCTATAAAAGATTCATATCTTCTCCCCCTATCAAGTGTAACATATTCTGTCTGAGCATGACTCTAAACCAGCAATGGGCAAACTACAGCCCGCGGGCCGTATACGGCCCAGCGGACCTTTTAATCCGGCCCACGAAGCGTGGCAAACATTGCCTGTCAGAATGTGTGTAGGCGGGGCAGCGTGAGGAACGTGAGGGGAGCTAGGCTCCTCTCACAGTCCGCCCTGAAGACCGGAACGGCGCGGGAACACGGCAAGAGGAACGCGTGGAGCAAAGGTAAGTGAATTGACACAGGGGGGACTTGGCTTACTACTTGCGGGGAAATAGTACTGTGGGGGATGAAATACTATATGAGGGATGAATTAATATGGGGAATGAATTACTATAGGGGGGATGAATTACTATGGGGGATGAATTACTATTGGGGATGAATTACTATATGGGGGATGAATTACTATGGGGGATGAATTACTAGATGGGGGATGAATTACTAGATGGGGGATGAATTACTAGATGGGGGATGAATTACTATATGGGGGATGAATTACTATATGGGGGATGAATTACTATATGGGGGATGAATTACTATGGGGGATGAATTACTATATGGGGGATGAATTACTATGGGGGATGAATTACTATGGGGGATGAATTACTATATGGGGGATGAATTACTATATGGGGGATGAATTACTATATGGGGGATGAATTACTATGGGTGATGAATTACTATATGGGGGAATATTACTATACTTACTATGGATGACACACATACACATCATTCATCTACTCTTGGTCCGGCCCCCGGGTCCAATATATGAACCCATTGCGGCCCTCAAGTCAAAAAGTTTGCCCACCCCTGCTCTAAACCATCTCATCTCAGAGAGGATTCCATGAAACTCCAATTTATGCATCTGAAATAAATTGAAGCTGAAACCAATGATACTTTTAGCTATCTGTAAGACTGACCATCAATGCAAGGAGCATTCTTCCCACTGATTACAAATGTGAGGAGTAATCTTATCATTGTTCACCAATAGTGGGATCCTTCTCACACTGACTTTCCTACTGTCCAGCAATGTAAGGGATCATTTTACCAACAACCAATCTAAGGTACAATGACCACAAATGTAAAGCACAACTTCAGTGACCACCAATTTAAGCAGGCCCTTCTTCGCTGACCATCATGGTAGCCAGACTTTTCTTCACGTACCACCATAATTTTGTTGTATAGAGCAGCCCAGAGTGTAAAATATGCTAATTACACCACATAAGTTATTTTTTCATTTAGATATAATGGTATACACAGAGCATCCCTGAACCACCCTTCTCAGGTCCTCTGCCACTCTTCTTGGTGGCTATCCCAAACCTTCTCCAAACTAAATGACTGACTGGAGACTGCACTGTCTACTGTTACACTTTTCTGTGAAGACCAGAAGTTCAGGGAAGCTTCTTTGAGAGAGCACGAGCCAGCAGCATTGAAAAGTTGTAAACTGCAAGTGCTGGGATAAGAATGTCAACAAATAGTTTATTGGGGAATGTCTATTTTACTGCACTCCACGCGTTAAACAAAAATACTACTTTAAAGATGATCCAATCATGGATGGATAGATTTACATTACACATGTACAATAGACATTTACAATACACACTGATCTAAAGGATCCAATCTGAAGCAAAATTTGTCTGAGAACTATTTGGTAACTGTAGTAATAATAGAAATTTTGTGTGCTGAATTTTAGAAGACAGGTTTAAAGGACAATAAAAAGTGGAGTTTTTCATAGCTAGTAATTAGATTATGACTTTACTTTTATTGTAGGTTAGAAAATTTAAGCAGAAAATTTGGTTATTGTAAGGCTTTCTGGATGATTTTGTCTGGTTAAACAGGAATCAGGATTACACTTTTCACTCTATACAGGAGCAATAAAAAGGAGGATTGAACTGGATTGGGGCACAGAGGACAAGGAATACCTAGAGAAAGTGGAAACACACGTGAAAGGAGCTCTAAATGAAGTGACCCCAGATGTAATAGTCTACATGCAGGGACTGATATACTCGATGGAGATCCACTTGGAGGTCTCTCTATTTCCCCTCAAGTAAGTGTTACAATCTCTACTATAAATAAATACACACACACACCACATATAAAGATGCATGGTATTAGATAGCGTACAGAACTATTTACAATATGGTAAGCATTACAAATAATTTCCTGATAGTTGACTGCAGACTCCTGGTACCAGCTGTTGTCATGTATTTGCATAGCAAATCCACAAGAGGGCTCAGCACACAAAAATGTAGATTATTTATTCTCTAATGAATTCTTCATAGGCACTTGGACTGTGTTATTGCTCTAATGCAGTCAGGCTGGATGCAAAACAACATATGTGTAGGTCTTTTTCTCTTGTTATCAAAGTATTATTGCTGCAGCCCTATATCAAGCCCTGTGCTGGCAGCAAGCTAGAGATCAGGACTGCTGCTCTCACATAGAGTGCAGAGGTCCCAATCTCCAATGATCAGACATACCCCCTGCACAGTGCTCCAATCAACAATGCTCATACTCCCAGAGCAGTGTTCCATCCTCTGTCTCCTACATTACTGAAGGACACAACATAGACATAAGGGTTGGAGGGAGTAAGTACAGCACGCAGTGGGGTACACAACCTCTCGACACTCCAAGAAGTGTCGAATGTTGAAGATTTTGATGGAGGCTGCATGGCTGGAATGAGGTAAAGGGCATGGGCCACCAGAGCAGTAAGTATGTGTGTCTTCTATTACCGGAAACTACTGTTGCAAAAGGAGATCTCCCTTTAAGACCTAAATGGGGGGGAGGGGGGGGTAAATTCTTTGTCTACTCTTTCCAAACTAAGGCGCAAATGATAGAATAATTTATACAAATTATTATCTTGGATTATAAATTTAGCCCGTTATATTGCAAATCAAAATTATGTAAAAGCTTTCTATCTCCTTAACCCTACTACATGACTAAGTCTTCCTGATTTTTTTTTTTAAATAATTTAGGGCATTATAAAAAGGGATGAGATTGTGTTCAGCATTGCCAGGAGTCGCTCTATACCTATCCTGATGGTCACCTCTGGTGGATACCAAAAGCGAACAGCACGGATAATTGCGGATTCCATTCTCAACCTGCACAACCTTGGCCTTATTAATAAAGCCTCAGCAGAGACACATGAACCTAGGATATAAGTCAAGATACATGGCAAACCAAGGTTTTTGTTTAACTAATTACTTCTGGCAATAATTTACACACTACATTTTTGTTTTAAAAAATGTAACTACATTTAAAATACTGTGTATTTGTTTGAGTGGTGAAAATGAGCCTGATAAACACTGGAGCACTTTGATTTTTATTAATAATAGCCAATGTCCCCTGATTCTATATATAGCTAAAACACTTATTCATAGTTGTGTATTGTAAGCACCTTAAGGACATTTTAAGTTTTTGGGTTGAGTAAGCAACTGCTGTTAATCATAAGGAAGCATTAATAGATAAAATAATGCTATAAAAAGCAGGAGTGGAGGAATAGGTGCTGTACTTGGTTCTTCCAGTATTAAAGGTTTGGAATTGTCATATGTGCCCCCATGCAGTTTTCCTATTACTTTGAAAATGCTAGCAGATGTGTGAGGTGAGGGTGTCCATAATATGTCTCCTGTTCTGCTTCTGCATATGTTTTTTTTTTTTTTTTTTTTATTTGTTTTTATTTGAGGGGGGGGGGGGGACTTTTGCCTCTGGAGCATGATGGCAATGTGGCTTTAAATTGAAATACATCTACTCATAATCCTTCTGGGAATTAAAGACCCCTAATCAAGACCTGAAAGCCAACTGTGTACACTTTCTGTGGACTTATGCTTCCACAGATGGCCAATCACTCAAGCTTCAATAGGATGGCCACCCAATCTTTTATTTCTGGGCTGATAGTTTGTAAGAGTAATGTTGTAGGGTCAAATAGTACACACTTCTAAAGTACCGTAAATCCTTATGATTGACAAAAGGCAGTGCTTACTTTCCTTGACCTCATTGTTTGCAGTTTATGCATTAGTACACTTTTTGTAAATCTAATGATGCACTTTAGAGCTAGACTACACAGGTATGTGGGGTATCATAACTGTACAGGGTTTGTTGCATTTTGCTCTAGAACCTCAACATCCAACTTCAGTAGCCAATATTTTCTAGAGAACTAGAATGGTCGTTTAAGAAAAAGCATTAGACAGCATACAATGTTTTCTGTTAAATTAACTGAAAAACATTTATATACTTTAGATGTGTGTCCACATGCTATCACCAGCACAAAAAACTGTGAGTGTTCTTACTTTAGGAAATACACTAACTGGTAAGGCACTAATTGTAATAATTTATTAAGAGTCATTTTATTTCTGTGACTTATTTGTTAATAAACAGTTGTCAAAATGTGATCAGTATGGCTTTTTTTTTAATGAGAATAATCTTCACATTTTTGAAAACCTTACTATTACTACTGATGCTTGCCACCTAAAATTCCTCTATTACATTGGGTAAGGTGGTCTAGCAATGGTGTAATTCATCCGAGCTGAGCCCTGTACCAGTACACAGAGGAAAACCAAGAAATTGGCTTTATCAGCTTCTTATCTCATGCCAAAATGCAGGGAAAACCCAACTGCTAAATGGGATTCCCTTTGGGGGCACTGGAGGACAAGTTATCAATGTATTCCAATGGCGCATTTCTGTATCTTAACGCTTCCCACCCGGCCACTGCACATAAACGGCTAGTTGGGAGCTTTGCTGTTCTGATTGGACGTTCAGGAACGTCCTTCAGAACATGCACACAAGCGCAGCTGTGCACTCTTGATGTGCCTGTGTCCCTCGGACACAGAGCAACACCGCTTGGCAGAAGGGCCCTCTGATAGATCACATCCACAGCCATCATTTTATGTCAACAAAGCCACCATTCAGGTGAATGGCTCTGCCTCTCCTCGCACAGATCCCGCAAGTGAGGAGAAACAGAGCCGATCTGTGAGTAAAATCACCCTGTCCCAGTGCCAGTGATCCACATCTGTCCCAGTGCCAGTGATCCACATCTGTGATCCACATCTGTCAGTGTCAGTGATCCACATCTGTCAAAGTACCCGTGATCCTAATCCGTGATCCACATCTGTCACTGTACCAGTGATCCACATCTGTCACTGTACCAGTGATCCACATCTGTCACAGGGCCAGTGATCAATATCTGTCACACAGTATCAGTGATCCACATCCGTTATGGTGTACTAGTGGTCATCCACATCTGTACCAGTGATCCACATCAGTCACAGTTTATCAGTGCTCAATATCTGTCACAATGTACCAGTGTAAAACCAACATCTGTACAAGTGAACATCAAAATGTCTAAAAAATTCTACACCAGCTAGCAGGCTTTCCAGATACTGAGTATGATGGATGAGAGTAGCGGGGAACATTGTCAGACTCAGATTCTGAGTATGAGCCAGTTGAAAGCAGTGGGTCAGCAACGGATTCTGAGGAGGAGCGAGTCCAAACAAAGAGGTTCAGGAGTTCTGAGGAGGAACAGGCATCCACCAGTAGCTCAGTGGTGAGTACAAGCAACGCAGCACTCCCAGAAGATAGGCAGGCATCCACCAGTAGCGCTACAAATCCGGGTGCCATACAAGCAGGGCTGCAGTCCCAGATGATAGGCCAAGCACTAGTAGCAGGGTTTCCCGTCCACAACGAGGTAGAGCCCATACTAGCCTCCCAGATGTACTTTTATATCCCACGTGACTGCCTGCTAATTCAGCAGAACCTACAATGCCCGCTTTTACAGCACAGCCAGGCCCTCACACACAAGCAGAAAATGATACCCTAATTTGTTTTTTTCATTTATTTTTTACTAATGATCTGCTAAATTACATTGTGGAGCAGTGTAACCTGTATGCCAGCCAATATATAGCCAGCAATCCCAATTCGTCATATGCCCGCCCATTTGTGTGGAAACCCCTCACCGAGGACGAATTTAAAACTTTTCTTGCGCTTACTTTGAACATGGGACTGACAAAAAAGTCCACGCCTACTGTTCTACCCAGCCTATACATCATATGCCAGTCTATTCATCTTTAATGCCCAGAACACGCTATGAAATGATAATGAGGTCCCTGCATTTCAATAATAATACCCAGTGCCTTCCTTGAAATCATCCTGATTATGATAAGCTATTCAAAATTCAGCCACTAATCAACTTTTTTTGCTGTACCTTCAAGGAAATGTTTACCCCAAAAATATTTGTGAGGATGAATCCATAGTACACTTTACTGGAAGGCTTGGCATTAAACAGTACATCCCCAGTAAATGGTCAAAATATGGAGTAAAATTCTACAAGGCATGTGACAGGGCCATAGGATATACCTACAACTTCCAGATTTATGAGGGAAAGGACAGCCAATTAGACCCTCCTGAATTCTCTACCTATATGGGGACAAGTGGAAAATTGTTTGGCAGCTTATAGAACCACTGTTCGAGAAGGGTTACCATTTGTATGTAGATACCTTCTACACAAGTCTCCCATTATTCCGCCACCTCTATTTGAAGAAAACTGTGACCTGTGGGACCGCATGGGCCCAACCGCAAGGGCTTCCCACAACGATTGGTCACTACAAAATTAAAACGGGGTGAAACAGCCAGTTTGCGGAATGAAGAGATTCTAGCTCTAAAGTGGAAAGATAAAAGAGATGTCTATATCCTTTCCTCAATTCATGATGACACCTCGGTGGAATGTCATACAAGACACGGTCCCATCCAGAAAACAAGATGCATACATGACTACAACCAGTTCATGGGGGGGAGATGGATATGAATGACCAGATGTTACAGCCGTACTTAGCCACCAGGAGATCACTCTATTGGTATAAAAAGGTTGCCATCTACTTGTTTCAGTTGGCCCTGTACAATTCATATGTCATCTTTTCTAAGTGCCAACAAAGATCCCTAACCCACCTGAAGTATCAAGAGGATATTGTTACAGCCCTTCTCTATCCGCATGGCCATGCCCCTCAACAAGTTCGCTCTGATTCATTGACCAGACTCCATGAGAGGCATTTCCCCGATATCCTCCCTTTTACCCAAACAGGCCGCAAACCCCCCCAAAAATGTTGTGTATGTTCCAGTAACCAAATTCGCCGTGACACCCACTACTACTGTCCCCAATGTCCTTCCCAGCCAGGTCTTTGTATTGGAGAGTGCTTCTGGATCTATCACACATCTCTACACTATTAGTCAAGATATTTTTCCAGTGTCCACTATCGCCTATTTCCCTGTATGACCTGGACTGTTTATGAACAATGCCTCTGCTTGCCGCCTGAACTGACCTTGCACTGTTTATTGACTATGCCTCTGCCTACTGCTTTAACTATCAGCCACGTTTCTGCCTTTCACGTGAATTGACCTTGGCCTGTTAATCGACCATGCTTTTTGCCTGCCTCCTGAACTGATGTTATGCCCTGCGACTCTATTAGTTGGATTCAAGACAACACGGGGGTCCAATGTATGTGAGGGGCTCCGGAATAGATTTTCCGAGTGGAGAAAACAAAGTTTTTGGTTTTCTCTGGGTTTTCTAACTCCCGGAAAAAGGTTCTGTTAGAACGGAGGCTTTGAAGAGATTGGGTGGGACGAAGCCTCTACCCCTGTGCCCAGGTCTTACCTGACCAATGCCTTAAGCCTAATATTTCTGCCTGCTGCTGATTTACTGCCATCATGCCTCTGCCTGCTGCATGAATTGACCACACCTCTGCCTGCTACCTGTACTATGGCCCGTGTTCTTGCCTACTACCAGGACTGATATTTTGGCTGTGCTGACCATGTGTCTGCCTGGATAACTCATTTGGCTGTTGCTGACCACATGGCTTCCTGAACCAATGCTTTGGCTGTGCTGGCAATATCTCTGCCTGCTACCTGCAGTATTCCTTCCTGCTGCCTGGGTAATTCCTTTCGCTGACCACGTCCCTGCTTGCTGCCTGGACCAATACTCTCCTCTGTGGACAACTGCACTGCTAAAACCACAGGTTATTTTTTTTGTTTACCTTTTGCTCAGCAGAATGTATTTCTGGGGTGTAATTCTTGGTATGTACATGCTACATGTACATTGCTTTCCAAAATAGGGTCATTTTGTGGGTAATTCCATTGTCCTGGTGCTCCAGGGCCTTCAAAATTGTGATAGGGAGTC